AAAGTCTGCGGCGGCTCATTACAAAACTGTGAACCCATTTGGCCCACCCGAAAACGCAGTTTCGCGGCGTCCGACTATTCGTTATTCACCGTAGTGCAGCCGGCAAGAGTAAGGTGGCCCGTCCTGTGTTGTATGTGGTAGGAACAGTGAGAATTAATAACTTGTAATTTACAAGCATATAACGCACGCCCCTCGCCGGTCTTGTCCATATCCCTACACGTAAATATAGCGTCTGTGACCTAAATAAAAAAATAAAAAGCGAAAAACAAAATATCGTCCAGGACGCGATTTGAACCGCCGACCCAGAGCTCGTGAAGCTAACGCTTAACCCACAACGGCACGAGGCACTTGCCGAATGGGCAATCCATTGGACATCTGTACCGGTTGCTGTTGCTCCGTCACCGTAATGCAGTTTCTAAAGTGAGGGCCCCGTTACCGCAGTCAGTTCCTTTCTAGATAAGCACAATATCATATCACTCTCACAGTGAAAGTTTGTTTCTAATCCAGGAATGTCATCCCTGCTGGACGTGTTTTCAGATTCTTTGCATTCGTCGTTTGACAGTCACTCTTGTGTTTGTGCGCCTTTTCTTGATGTGGCAAGAGCATTCGATTCAGTAAACCACGACATTTTATTAGATAAGGTTTTTCACCTTGAGTTCAGGGATCCTTTTTCTCGTTTGCTGAAAAATGTTTTGTGCTCACGTTTTCAACTCATGTCTGTTGGAGAAATTCATAGTACAAAGGCCACACTTAGCACTGGAGTCCCACAAAGTTCTGTGTTACCCCATCTTTTATTTAATGTACTATCGCGGACAATATGAGCTGAAACAACGCTCCGGCCGGCGCACGGTACTACCTGCGCCGCCTGTCGTCTTGCTTCGCACACACGGCGCACCCTGAAACCGAGATAAATTATTACTTGCGCTCGCTGCTCCACTGCGCTCTTCCGGCCGTCTGAAAGCGAGACGGCGGGTGCGACAGCGGGCGTGTGTGTGGTAGGGCGGCAGGGAGATTGGGGGGGGGGGGGGGGGGCAAGGAAAAATGTTGAAGTACTGTATCTTAAATTGAAGCTGCGATTATCGTTTTTTGGAAGTCACATTAAAAGATGTTGTAGGTTGTTTAATTTTTTCCTTGATGAAGTGCAGCCACAAAGCAGGACATCGTGAAATATGGGCCAACATTTGTATACGGGATTTAGGCCGGCTCCAAGGTATTTTTGTTTTTATTGAGCGCAGCTGTGTAAAAAAGAAACAACGGTAACCATACATGTTACCGCGGAGGTTTTGTAACCTTGATAGGCATGAAAAGGTTTTAAAATAATATAATTTTGTTACTGGGCCCTCGTGTTTGTTTCAAACAAAACCAGTGCCGACACTACACCAGTGTTTTCTTTACAAATTCCTGGTTTTAATAAAGTGGAACGAACAGTCATACATTTGCCAGGAGCAGGAGCTTGAAAGTTCTTTGAAAGAATATTCGCAGAGGACAATGTAAGACACAAAAGATTATTAGTCGGCATGGAAGTTCAACTGCACTTTACAAAAAGATCGGGATCAAGGATGCACCACTCAAAAGTATGCGCTGGTTAACGTTGTCCAACAGTATGTCGCCATCGTAGCAGCAAGGTTTGTTGCAATCGGCAGAGGTCCAGTTCAGGGAGTCCTAAGGCGCAGTAAAACTTGCGAAAGAAGTTAATACCGCTTCCACGGCTGTCATCCTGTCTGGTAAGGAATCATAGAGCGCGGCCACCTCGTCTGGCTCGGCCCGAAGCCTGTCCCCCCAATTCAGCTCTCACCGCTTCCCACAATTCGTCGGCAGTGGCGCGGTGGAACGGACGCCGTGATATGGCTACCTTGATGCGCCTCAAAACGTCTTTGATGATTTTTAGATCGGCTCCTTTTGGGGGCCAAGGCAGCTCCGTCAGGCAGCGTTCATTGGGGAGATACAAGCGCGACAACGCATTTTCCACTTCGCCGCTTTCTTGAAATGCACTGAAATGCATGATAGTTGAAACGTGAATATTGGACTGCATGGCACAGGCATCGTAATGGTGGTTCCGCCGGCAAATATTTTCGCTAGCAGACGGCCGGAAGAGCTCAGTGGCGCAGTGAGCACAAGTGATAATTTATCTCGCCCTCAGGATGCGCCGTGTTTGCGGAGCGATGCGACAGGCGGCATAGGTAGTACCGTTCCTAGGCCGGAGCGCTGTTTCAGCTCATATTGTCCGCGATAGTACATGTTAACGACCTTTCTCAAGTGGTTACGTGTAACGTATTACAATATACAGATGACACTCTGCGTTTTTCATGTCATACTGATATCGAACATGCTATCCTGGACCTGCACAAACATGCCATTGCAGTCATGAATTGGTTTAGAAATAACAGAATAAGTGTAAACGCCTATAAAAAAAAGCTGGTATGTTTCCGCAGCCCGTGGAAAAAGGTAAACTGTTCCCGCCTTTGTTTTTGCACAACTCCAATTGCGTGTCATGTTACTGCAACCCTGTTCAATATGTCTCTTCTGTCAAGTATCTAGGAATATACTTTGATTCTTTTCTGTCTTGGACTACGCATCTCGCTTTTGTGTCGAAACGACTAAGAAGTGTATCTTGTAAGCTCTATAACATAAAAGTGTTCCTTCCGTTTGCAAGTGTAAGAATGTGTATGCACTCTTTGGCGTATAGTGTCCCTTGGGACGGTGTTGCTCTATTTTCTAACTGCTCTCGACAATGGCATGCCAGAATTAGTAGCATTCTGAGGGGGATATTAAAAAGCGTTGCTTATGGTTCAACACCTTCTTCAACTGATAACTTATTCAGTTTACTCAAATTGCCTTGTTTTTACTCGTTGTGCATTCAGACGGTCGTTGTTTGTCACTTTTGGTGCAGTGAATTTAAAATTGAGAAGGTGGCCCCACGTACATTTAGGAACACTACTGGCTATGAAATTTCTCGTATCTATACTTATTATGGAGAAAGCATTGGGTTATTTTACATACCGAAGATTTTTAATGAACTACCAGACAACTTATTCTTAAAGTATTCTAACCATAGACAAAAAAGAATCTAAAAAAGGTGTTTCATGATACCACCAAGTGATAGATCTACACATGACATTTAAGGAGTGTTGTGGCCTACTTCATTTTATCCTGTTGTGACCTGCTGTTTCTGTGAGGATTGGGCTGTAGTGCCACGTCATGCCACACAAGCCTCTCTTGGCTTAGGCAGACTGTTATATGCGATATTTGTCTATTACTGTGAATAAAAGTTTAATATTATTATTTTAAGAAACCTTGAAATCTAACAAACATACGGTATTATCATAATAGTTTTTAATTATCACTCGAATGCGCTGATGTTATCTAGATCAAATTCAACGTGTCCTTTTAGAACAATTAGTTCTAAAACCAATAAAAAAACACGATAAATAATATATTTGAGGAAATTCGAGATGCTGCTTTAGATAATATGTTTAATTTTCATTTTGCAAATTGAGAAAACTAACTTACGATAATACGGCTTCTAGTTGCTTCCGGGTGTGAAGAGCCTATAATAGCGTTCGCTGTAAAAGCGAGTGCCGTGACGATGCAATTTTGGCGGTGCTTGATTAATTCCATCAGATCGCAGCGTTGGGTTACTTGGTCCATAAATGCGCGAGATGTTCAACTGGCACTAGTGTGCTCTTGCAAATTAAAGCAGACAGCAACTAGTCAGAAGTTGACTTCTGGTGATGCATCTCTATGGGAAAAAGGGCGTGCATTTTCTAACTTGCGCTGATTATAAGAGAAAATAACACGAAAATGACAGTAATAGTCAGTTACGAAGTTATTATTATATTTTTTTAATTAGTAGCATTAAACGCAGTGCTAAAACAGCATCCTTATATACATTTATGTATAGACTGTCGGACACCGTTATTGCGTACACGGCGTGGGCGATTTTCAGCATGGGCGATATATACGTGCTTAACGAACGAAGGACATCTGGAAAACCAAGAGAGACGGCTACAACTGATTGGATCAGTAACTCCCCGTGCACGTAGACGATCAAAATAAATGGAAGGCCACGTAATATAGTCCGATTCGAAATAAATAAGTACTGCTTTCATATTTCTTCTCGTTAATATGCGCGAAGACGCTTGTTCTTGCGCTCAAAACATGACCCGCACCACGCTCGAAAAGTTTTGAAAATCTGGACAAACCAGAACACAGATGCCCCATAAAAGCTGCCCGGCATAGGAAATTATAACAAGCGGTACGTTTCTTAGCCCACATACTTTATTCGTTATGTTTTGAATTGTTTTAACTGCTAGTAAAGATGCACACGGGATGGGGTCATTTTCATATGGTGACAGGACTGGCATATCAGCAATATGTAAGCGTTGCCGGAAAGCTGGCTAAATTTAAACACACTCTATATTCCTTTCGATTGTTATTTTGGTTAGAATCGTGGCTCGTTCTTACACATCTGCTATGGAAGAGGGGTTTGGACCTGACATAAAGCGAAGTTTAACAACGTTCACTGGTAAACAAATATATTGTATAAGGAACATATTATTCGGTACTACCGAAAAAACAAGTGATCTATGTGATTTTCTGGCGAAGAGACAAAATGCATGCGCGTTTTCCCATAGGAATGCACAGGAGCACCGCAAAAGTAGACTGGTTGCTGTCTGCTTCAATTTGCGTCACGGAAGTCGCATAGACACTAGCACCAGTTGAACCTCTGGTGTACATTATAATAACTCCATGACCTCGTATACACATCCAGATTGTCAAGTCAAGTGAGTCACTGTTCGGAAAGGAATGTCCAATCAGTGTCAGAGCTTCTGAAGGCATATCTTGAATAAAAACTGGAAATTCCCAGCTCGGTGATAGCATATTTGATTAGAAATGGCGCTCTTAGAGAGCGATAAAATAAGATGCGCGAAAACAAAGCGCACATGACCCGAGGGAGCAAGAGGACAACGAAAGATAACAAGCTGTCGACGTCTATCAGTAAGAGAGGGTTGCGTGAAGATTGCAGGTAAAGCTCACAATAGCTGTAAAGTCAACTGCACTATTTGTTGTCGCGTCGAGATATATGAAGTTGAATAACACCACCGGGCTCGAGCGTCTCGGATACTCGGTGACTGCACCGTGAGTTGTCCTCTTCTTCTTTTTTTTTTTTTTTACAAACTTTTTTACGAGCGTGTTTGAGACATTTTGTTGTCAATTTTGAACCAAACAATATTCATGTCGCTCTGCGATGGCAGATATAGTTACAAAGGGGGTGCGCATCGATATTGTGCATGAACGTTTGCCACTCAACACAAACATGCTAGCGCCGGATTCCCGCGAGAAAGCCCACTTACTACCCAAGAGCTTCTTTGTCGCGATGTAACTTCAGTAATAGAAGCTGACCATTTTCATAAGTGTGTTCTTCCCAAAGATGAGCGATTTAGTCGTAGGGATAGCCCCTTGCTGGCGATAGTCGAGTCACAGTGTTCTAGAAGCAGAGTAGCGGCATATGCGGCGCGCTTTCCGTGAAGCCTCTGAAACGGATGCCGCTGTGTGTCGCTGGCGTTGTTTCCGCGAGCAGTAGCGCTGGCAAGATGGTACATCGGCTACTTGCTCGCGGCTTTATCTAGAAATGTTTCTACAATGGTATAACATTTTATACACCACTCCATAAGCTCTGCGGTCGTCAGACTCAACAAAAGAGTGTTTGAAATGCTTGGAAGGTATCATGCAGTGTCGATGTGTCTCTTTGTGTTAAACACGACACAAGTGGCAACCATGAAACACTACACAACTATGCCGCTACAAGTTCTCAGTCAGCTGTCTCCACTCGAATACAGCTCCAGAGATTCGGATGAGGTGCTAAGATTCTGAACTGGGCGTTGTATGAGTTATGAGCAATGTCCGAAAATTTTTTATGAAAAAAAAAAAAATTAAAGATGTTTTCAATCCTCTGTGATGCGAAATTGGAGCACAGCTCTTCAGGAGGCGGAGGGGAGGGAATGGAGGTGGGGGGAAGAAGGTATGCCTCTCTACCCCCTTCTCTCTCCTCCTCTCCTTTTCCCCTCCTCACCTCCCATTTAGCGGGAAATTCTCGCTAAATTTCCCGCTAAATTAAGCGAAACTTTCCCCGCTAAATTTAGCGGATTAAGTTTCCCCGCTAAATTTAGTGGGGAAATCGACGTCACGTAGCCTTAACACCATTCAGTTTCCGCGCTAAATTCAGCCAGAAAGCTGTAACGTCCCATAGTGCAACGCGCGCGGTTACGCCGACGCCGACGCCGACGGTGACGCCGCTTAACCCGGAAACGGGTGCCTAAGAGCTGCGCTCTAATATTGCCATCTCCTTCAAGGAGACGCTGTTCACGCTCTTGCATTTTCGAAACTTTTACGCTTAGTTACGAAATCGGATCCCAACGGCTAGCTTTCCATTGCGACGTAGGTTTAGGGTCCGGTGATAGGTAGTTTACTCTTGCGGCGAGGAAAAAACATGGTTGGTATTTTTCTTCAGTTTACTTCTGCCCGAGAGACGAAAACTACTGATCCACCAAAATTATTTTATATAATTTTCTCTATTAAATGACTTGCTTGCAAGTTGTGGAGAGAAATTCAATTATGGCTGCCTTCCTTAGCAGTTCACTGTTTATATATGAAAACGTTGTGCTTAAGATTTGCGTTCTTTGATTCTAGGTGTTCCACTGATCTGTAGCCGTATCTCCCAATGAAAACACTTCCTTCCTTGTTTTGCCATAGCAAGAGAACAACAACAAATTCCATTACACGGTTTGATATTTATGTACCACAACAGGATGGATAATATAATTAAACTCTTGATTTAAATGATTACTTCACTTGCACCAATTTGTCTATAGAGATTTAAGTCGCACAGATTTGGCTATAATAAATTAAATCATACACTTTTCCCCAAAACTACATTGAAAAAATTTCTTACTTACCTTTTGCCTATCAGTGTGCTTCCCATTGCTATTTTTTTTTTTTTGTTGAAGTAAACAATGATCAAGCAAGAAATATTTATACCAGATAGTCATAAACACACACACATACACAGATTTAGTGATAAGAAGTCACAGATTTCTAGCTGAGGGGATTTCATTTACGTAAGTTTGATTCAAATAAAAAAAAAGATTTATTTTATTAAAAAAGAGCTTGATTTTTTCTCACTCTGATCACAAATCACGTTCATTTATATTTAGAAATGAATGCCGCCAAGTATGCGACCAAATAAATGAGGTGGGAAAGTTCCGACAATTTCACTTTCCAACGGCTCAATAAAATGGCTCGATTCTACAGGAAAATTATTGAGCAAAGAAGCTCTGGCTCACAGGCATTATGACAGAACAAAATAGCTTAAAAAGATGCACACTTAGAGCTGCATACGACTTTATGCATCCTATAAAACCTAAAAACGAACCAAGTGAGCAAAAAAAAGAAACGTTACATCAGGCTATCACCATGACTATACACACAAAACACATACGCTCAATAAAGATGCTCACATGGAAGCGTTAAGGAAAATAATACAATTAGTTGAAGAGCACAAAATGGCATATGGCACAATTACAAGAGTAAAATCTGCTGAAGGCACTGAAGGTAGCATATGGCTCTGATGACAGAACTGGGCGGAAAAGCTATGTACACATCGACTGATCAAGCTTCAGGTATCTTGCCGCTTCATGCTTCTGTATTGTGGCCCGATTGAGCGACCTAGCAAAGAAATGCGGCCTAATGGAAATATAAAATACCATCACTTCAGCAGTTAGTGCTTTGGAGTGATCCGCAGAGCCCATCTTTTGAACAAGCGGAGTCCGCCAAGAGCCCTTGATGGCTGCTAATGCAAGAGGAAGCAGCCTATGCAGCCGTTTTTGTCCTCAATTTCTCGGCTACAGCGCCACAGTCGGCCGTCCGCTTTTTCGACGCAGCGCCTCCCATTGACGTTGGCCTTGCTTTTGCCACTACTCCCCTTCTAGAACACTGTGGTCGAATGTAGCTCCTGGATTGGACATGAGCACCGCGAGAGCACTCGTCTTGGGAGAACCGATGCCTCGGCAAACATTCGGGAAGTGACTCATGTACATTCGCTGAGAGCAAAGGAGGGAAGGGAGGGAAGGTTGTGGAGAATTTAACAGCCTTAAAATGGCGCCGGCTTCTCCATAAGTTGAAAGTGAGGAGTAAGACAGAAAATTATGATGGTGGAAGAGGGTTGAAGTAATAAGAAAAATAAATGAACGAGAAAAAGGGAGTATTATCAATGCACCCCCCCCCCCCCCCCCCCCCAGTCGCAGAAGCACAAATACAAAACAGTTGGCTATGCACTTCTATTAGAAATCCCTTGCGAAAAGGATTAACAGCAAGCAAAAAATGTTCAAGAGTGATTCTTCAGCACGATAGCCTTCCATGTTGATCGTCTGTTGCAAAGATAGACATCACTTCTTACGCACGCATTGCACATTGTCGCGCTCACTCACTCGTATACGTATCTACAAGCACTGGGCAAGATCGTCTACTAGTCATAGAAAAATCCACTGTATGACTAGTAGCAAATAATGCCACGTGCGGTTTTGAATACCTTGCGGTTTGGTCGAGGGCCGAGCATTCTTGCTAAGTTTAAGGGACGTCTGCTCAACAGACGAAGACGGATGTTCATTGCGTGCTTTCAGGGGCCAAAGGTTGGCAGTCTAGGAGAATGTGATTCGCATTTTCAAAGATATATGTGCATTTACATGTTGAAAATTCGCGTTTGCTAAATGCCGTCTAAGAAAGTGCTGTCAAATTCACTTCAACGTGTGGTTTGGTGTAAAAGAGCATTGCATGCTTTTTTTTCGGCTAGAAGATCAATATGAGGTAAGAGAGCGTCGAGTTAGTTTTAGGTGAACCATTGCTGTCAGGAGTATTCCTCTTGGAAGTGCCGACGTAAGAACTTGGCATCCACTGGCGTGATTTTTATAGTGTTGTGAGAAAAAGTTTCGCCAGTCAAGCGATCTATAGTATGGTGTTTTCGTTACAATATCTGCATGAGCTAACGTTATTTGAACTCTGTACAAAAATAAATCCAAAAAAGGATCGCGTGCTTGACCCTTCAGTAGACCTAAGGTATTCTTAACATCTCTCTGTACGACTCAGTCTCCTGGGTGATCAAAGTCATCAATAAATGTGGCGGCTGAAAATATCGCATGCAACTCAGCCGCTGTAGAACACGCATAATGTGAAAGCCGAAAACCTTGGTCTAAATTAAATATCAGAACGATGAAGCCAGGTGTTGAACAACGCTTTAAAGTTGATCCGTTAGCATAAACATGAAGAGTAATGTTATGGTATAGTTCTACATGATTTGGGGACAGGGCTTTCGCCATGGAAGACTAAGCAGATACTTTTCATGAAATACTGTAAATATATGTGGGTATATTTAGGGTCAGTATGGTTCACAGAGGGCCTCTTTAAGTCAGGAATCTAATAAACATAAATGTGGTACACAAATGAACAATGTAGTTAGAAGCCTGCGAAACTGGCATTCACTGCGCCGACTGAGAACGCGATGAAACAATGGGCACACACTCATGCGTAGCTAGGCGAAGGTAATGTCGACATACATTATGGGCACGAAGGACGTTTCCGAGCCTCCGCAAAGGCACAATCATAAGCAGTTGCTCAAAAAGAAAATGAGCAGACCTTGTGGAATTATACTCAAAGCGCTTTTCTTATGTTTGTGCAATCTATGTGGTATTGGCATTGATATGCGGCCGTTTGACGCACGAGAGCTGTTTGAAGAAGGGGAATACCACTTGTTGATCCCTCCCTCTATCATCCGCACTACACCAAAGAGCATAAATTATGACATTTACTTTTCTTTCGAGCATATCAATACGTTTAGACCATTGTTGGGAACTTTTGTTGCAGCGGGACAGATCGTCGGAAAACGAACGAAGAAATGGAGATGAAGTGGAGGGATCAGCCTATAAAAGTGGGAGTAAAAAAAATATGTCACATACTAAATGAGATATAAAAGATGTTCTGATTCAAGCAGGCGTAACGTAAAATTGCTCGGGCCCCCTCCAGTTCGGTTTTGGGCGTTGAATGTTGCTTGCCATGATGATAACATTTACGTAATTCCTAATTGAAAGTCGTTAGACATTTTGGAGCTGCTCATCTGTCTTTCGCAAGACAAGACCCACGTTGGACTTCACAATCTTCATCTTAAAAAGTATGTTTTCAGATATATACGTGCTCTAGTGAAAACTTAGATCAAGTCCACTGCGAGATTTTTAATATTTGAAGGTTTCAACTCGGGGAGGAGAGTAGAAAACTTAAAGAAGTCGTTCACTGCCGCTGCAAATGCATTCTTCAGCCTGTTGACTGTTTTGGGATCACCTGATCAGTAAAATCTATCCGGAAAGTCTCTTGGACTTGCTCGTTCGATTATCCCGGGTTTGTAACCAAACATGCCCCTTAGCCTGGAGTGTGTGTTTGGCAGAGGAGGATCATTTCTGGTGGCGTGCCGGGGATCGTAAAGTATTCCCTCGAGGGCCGGATCAGGCCCGCGGGCCGCCGGTTCCCCACCCCTGGTTTAGGCCATGTGAGAGAGCACTCATGCACGCCACCAAAGTATTTGTTCTATTTGAACCTTTTAGTGTGTATGTCTCATAAAATCTGAATCGCAACTGCACTTGTAGTACTTCTAAGGAAGAACCAGATGTCTATACACAAATATCATCACCGCGTACGTTGAAATATGTAGAGGCGGTGGAAGTCATTTCGCCGCCAATTGAGGCATGACCGCCTTGATTATAGTAAGACCTATAACGTCACCTTGTGAAACTCATTTAGCTCATGTGTTGTGTCCTGCCATTCATTCGTGGGTACGAGCATTTTACGGTGGAACAGAAAGTTTCTGATCCAGCGTACATACGACCTTGCACCTTCAATTCAACGAGCCTATGCAGAACGTATATGTTGCTTTCAGTAATAATATATCAATAAATATCTAATAGCACTGCAATGGTTAAGTTCCACGATTTGTGTTTGTATTCAGCAGCCACACTAAGGTCAAAGACGAAGTCTATTGCTCATCTACGAGAATGAAATCTGCACATTTATGCAGGTAATCGAAAACTCTATTGAAGGCGCAAGTGCACCTGTTTATGCTCAAGCATCCCAAATAAGCTAATGAGGCTTATTGGTCGAAATGATTCTAGTGCAGCACGAGTTTTTTTAGACTTGGGTAAAGGAACGACCTTTGCCAGTTTCCATGCATCTGACAGGATTCCTCTCATCTAAATGTAGTTAAAAACTCACGAAACAATTTTCACTATAGTTTCGGCATCAAAACTTGCAAGCGCTTTATATGTTGTTTGATCATGAACAGGAGTTCAAATCGCTGATCACGAAAGATGTCTAGAGTTCAGAACGCGCCTTTCGCTTTACCAATCCCTGCACGTGGCTATCAAAAGCATATAATTGCCTTCTAATCACTTGGCTTTTTTTTTTTCTTTTTCTGTCTGCAAGTTGTGGGGATGAAGGCTGCTCGTTTTTCATTATTGTTTTTACAGCGAAGCAGCTATGGCTAGGGTCTTGAAAGAAATGTGTCAATGGATGTTAACTAAAAAAAAAAAAAAAAAAAAAAAAGCCCCTATAACATAGCGATCCTTCCTTCGGATTGGTCGTGGCAAGTATAAATGAAAAGAGGGCAAAACCCGCGTGAGTCAGCCTTCCTTACCATTACTAAATAGTGAGGTCGTGGTATCTTGTTATCATCTACAGTCACCGACTTATCTCGGCTAAGAGTGCGCTGTGACGAGGCTGAGGGCAGAACGCGACGGTCGAACCTTCTCTCCTATCGCTTCCGCGATGCTTGTGATAAAGAGACTTGGGCTCTTTATCAGCATCGCTGATGAAGAACCCAGGTCACTGTAAAACCTGAAATAGTCGTATACCAACACATATAAGTATACCAACGACCAACAACAGAACGCGTATCGACCTCATGTGTAGCAAGAACGTATCCGAAGTCGAGTCGTGTACGTGTGTAAGAAGTCCAAAGTGGAGATGTCTCTAGTCCTGGTTCGTTTAGTCTTAAATGTGTTTAAGGGCCCGTTTCACTCTTTGTACCTAAGTTAACTTTCTTTTTTGTGGCGTCCTTTCCTCCTTATTCTCTGTCGTGCCTCATATTTTAATCCGCGTTCAATAAAAAAAAAAAAAAAGCGACATTAAATCTTTCTCTTTTTTTACCCCTTATATCTAACTCCTGGTGTCCTCAGAAATCAATAAGGGAGAACATCTGAAAGTCTGAACAAATACTTTGCTGGAGAGTGCATCTTACTCCGTGAAAAGGCAATGGCCTTGGCGCCGACAACTTTTGCGTAGTATGAACAATTGGACGCTTGCAGCCTTGGTGTTTCTACTTGAATTGGAAGGGGTGGCTGCCGCCATCTATCGTCGTGGACAGCAGCAGAGACAACGCAAACAGCCGTTTCTGCTGTCTTGGCAGATCCGGTATCCCGGTGTGTCGGCTGCAGTACCTTCCCCGCGTGGACAGCGCGACGTGCTTGCTTTTCCTCCGGTGCTGGAGGCACGCTGTTTAATGCAAATGAGTGGAACATAATGTATTTTTCTAGTAAAGTATTTGGTCAGAATGTTGTCTGGTGGGAGCGTCAATTATTTTTGTTTCTTTATCTCTTTCAGTAACCAGTGAGGAATGCTTACGAAAATACGGCTACTTCTGAGAGCGGTCCTGGCTCTGCTCCTGTTACACCTCGCATCAGGAACGATCTCATCCGAGCATGCTAGGCTGCCGAACTTGGCTTCAAATGTAACCCTGGCGGCATCTGACATCTTCAACGATGGAGGAAGAGAGGCCACAGGTGGAACAAGTAAGAACAAAAACATTTTTCGGTGCGGGCGTCAGCCCTGTGGCTACGACCTGATAGGTGTAAAGCCCCTACTCTGAAGAAAGTATTATTTGACAACGTATAGTGATTTCTGTTCTAAATGCACAGTAGGACACTTTGGCCTTTACCTTGTGTTATTATGATAAACAGATATGCTCCTATCAGCGTAGTCATAGCCTCTTGTATTGTTAGTTGTTCTAGAGTTATTTTAAAAAATTCGCATAATTGTGCCGTGAAGAACACACTGAGCTCATGTGAGATAGTCGACTCTTTTTGGAGGACTCAAGGAATTTCTAGAGGATACTCAGACTTCTTTTTAAAATCACTTTCTTATAATACAGTCATCCATAACTACCCTTTTAATACAGGACTATCCAAAATAAAACCGGTTTCGTCAGCCGGCCACTGAAAGGATCTTTTTAGACCATTGCTTAACACATTCTTGGGGTGGGGGGGGGGGGGGGGGGGGGGGGGGCAGTGTTCGCTAAAAAGCTACTGACAAGAAAAAAAAATTCTAACAGTTTAGTTGGAACACACGTGTCAAAAAATTAACTTTACGCGACAAAAAAAAATAATTAGCGCAATATTGACGGCGCGAGACGCAATTTCGTCCGTAGTCACCTCTTTTCCAAATGTTTTCACCCTCGGCATTTCGGCCGCGTGGAGGAGGGGTGGATCGGGTTCGCTTTCACCATGAAGTGGAAAGAGCGAATGACCATCTCGTTGAGCGAATATCCATTCCGTGACGTCGTGCACTTTGCGCGCAGAATTGAAAATAAATCTCTCGCCGTCAATATTGCTATACACCTTTTTTTCGCGTAAAATTTATTTTTTGTTACGCGTGTCCCGACCAGATTGTTAGAAAAACTGTCTTTTTTTCTTTTCAGGGGCCCTTTTAAAAAACAAGGACAAACCAAAAAAACAAAAACAAACTTAAACGAGACAGTTGCCGGATGATGATAGAACGTGCACGTCGCACCATCGCAGGAAAAACGCAAAAGTCAAGCACGTTCGCTCGTTTTTTCAAGCTCTTACCTATCCATGTTCGTAAGACGAGTGATGTCTTCAGCCAAAAAAAGGGGCGACGACTCGGTGGCGTCTTCGTGCGAATCTTCTTGGCGGTCGGGCGTGCCTTACGGAATAAATCCTAATTGTTTTAATCGGTAAACAATTTCTATTTCGAAGCTAGACAGATTCGCCTGTATCGCGAAAAACAGTATTGAAGTAGAGGTCCCACGACCGTCGTCCGCCGCCCACCGCTTAGTTTGCCTCCTTCAACGGTCGAGCTCGGGACTCCCGCGATACGACGCCATTTTGAGAATTACGCAGAGAATGCACAGATGGCTTCCGGTCCTCTGTGCAACTTTTCTTTTTTTAAATCGACGTACTTGGAGCTTTTTAGAAGCCGCACAAAATGCGTGTCATATATTCTTTCTATTTTTAATATCGAGTGCGTGCTTTTCATGACCCACCACTTTGATTATGTTTGGGATGTGTGTCCAAACCATAGAGAACTGCACTTGAACACAGTCAACTTTACGTGGGGAGAGGGGGCCGGTCAGGATGGTGACGACCGATGATGGTGTTCGCCCGATGCAAGTCCCCCGGGAAGTCGAATAAGAAGAAAAAAAACAACTAAAAGTTGTTCGATCCCGCTGGACACATTACGACGTTGGTTGGTTTACGATGGCCAGTGTGGCCACGTTTATTTCAAAACAAAACGACAACAAGTCAACAGTAATTTACATGAAAAAACTCACAAATTTAAAACCCATACTTTAGTCCCCCAGTATCAAGAGCCGAATCTGCCTGATCTCAAAAACTGAATCTCCGAGAATTCTCTCGGCTGTCTTTTCTAGACTCGTAGGGGCCTTTTTTCCCTCCAGAGACGGACCAATCACTTCAAATCTGCCCATTGTCACGTGGTACACTCTTATACCCAATGATCAGCGAGCTGTCAACGTGACCCTCTCCGACACCTCAACGGTCAAACCCAAGTTCTTTGTAGAGTCACCACATGCTTTCTTCGCCGTCTGGCTGGCGCCACCAAGTTGAGTTTTTGCGTCGACTAAAAGCGAAGTTTCTACACTAAGCGGCGAAATACGCCGGACACAAGCACACCCGCGTAAAAGCCACAAGTGCGGACAGAAGCCAAAGACAGGGGTGTTCGGGCGCCCCAAACTGAAACCCGAGACCTTTCTTAACGACCGGGGTCCGACTCTTCTACACCGAGCCCCGCGGTTGCTCGAAGCCCCCGCACGGGGGGGGGGGGGGGGGGGGGGCGGCGGAAGACGCCCAAAAATGTAGGCAGAAACATAGGCAAAAACAATGCCGACGCAACTGTAGAAAGATAGACTTTTCTAAAACAAACCTTACTTATTTCTAACAAACTCCTTCGTTACTTAACAACCACGAAGAAGAGACTGAGTGCAACTCAAACCGGCCACTTCTAGAGAGGCAATTTTCGAGCTGAAAGAAAACGAATTTGGAGTCGCAAATTGTGTTCTGGGTAGTTATGCTCTCATGTCTCATATACCAAAAAAAATTGATCTCAGTGTTCTTTTAACAGTACCGGTACATTCACTATACGATACTTCCCTCGATGTAGACATGATTTGCATGTGACGTCATTGCATCATTCTGGTGGTCATTCTTGTTCCTGCCGAAAAAAAACAACAACAAGCAGATATGGTGCTGCGAAATTTATGCCGCGGAATATACGGGCGCAGCGGCAAGGACGCCATAATGGCAGCTCATATCAGTGCAAGCCTTGTATAGACTCCACCTGCAGTTAACAACCACTCTTCGCAATAAAGGCTGGTTCAAACATTTGCGTCTGACTCTGACCAACCGCGTAACGGTGGCTAATTACGACGGCTTATGATGAGAGAACACGCGTGCCCAATTTCGCCATATATAAGGAAGCCCTGGAGAACTCCGCATCTGCACACTAAAAAAGAAGGCTATATTCTTACACCTCTCGTCAGATATAATACACCCCAAAACTTCCGTTCGACGTACAGCACACTGACGTTGAACTGACGGTACCAAAATTCACGAACGGCTTGATAGCCGAGTTGCACAACTTGATAACATAGCTAATGTACGTGTGACTGACTGCACAAAAAAGTAAGTGAGATTTTCTTGGCCCTACTGCAAAACCTCGGTGTTTTTTTTTTGTTTTTTGTTTGATGCGTATTTTAGCTGTTTAATGTGTTAAATCGCACCGACATCAAGCCTCTCGTGAAAGTTGGGGCCGTCAGCTTGACTTCAGTGTGCTGTACGTCAAACTGAATTTTTGGGGTGTATTTTATGTGACAAAGGATGTAATGGCTACACTTTTTTTTTTTTTGTTAGAGTGCGCGTATAACTAGACCAGGTTTAGCCAAAATGCAGCTCGTGAGCCGCATGCGGCTCTGCGCGGGTACAAGTCCGGGTCGTACATATAGCTGGACGTACACAACGTACATATAGCTGGACAGCTTTTTCAAACATAAATGTGTCCAGTGACCCTGTTTTTTTTTCATTGTTTTAGAAACAATATTGTACCGTATAAGTAAAGCGAGCATTGTGGGGCAGTAACTGGCATTCAGTGTACCATGCATTCCTTTTTGGTTAATTTCTGAACAAACGTTCTGCTGCCTGCCGTTATTTGTTGTAGTCCACAATTATTCTTGTCCTCTTTGGAGAGGATTGTTCCCTGCATAGCATTTCTTGTTAAAAGTATCCCCCTTCCTTTTTTTTTCCCCTCTGCGGCTCTCTGAACTTTTCGTAGTTTTGTACGCGGCTCTAACCCCACGTCACTCTGGCCACCCCTGAACTAGACTAAAGGTTCTCGCGAGACTAAATCTACGGGCTACTTATGATAAATGGTCGCTCGTCACATCGCCTAAATTATTTCAAGCCCATACAGTCGAGCCCGCTTACAACGAACCCTTCTACAACACGAAACGCGTTCGCTCAAAGAGAAGTTCGTTATAAATGGACTTACCCTTAAAATTCAAGATAAATAAGTATGCACGGCACGGATTGGAAAGCGCAACACCTGCGATCGATGTGCATGGCGTTTATTCAAGGAAGTCCGTAATCGCTGTTTGCTTCCGCAGTGCAGATCCAATTATAGCGCTCTCCAGGTTGCTCAGCTGATCGATGTGAACATCGCTCAGTCCCCGTGCGTACACCAGCTGCTTCAACGAAGCTATGTGCCCCAAAGCCGTCGCTGTCGAAACCGGAGGTGAGGGAGCAACCCCATCGCCGACGTCGTCTTCGTCGTCCTCTTCGTCGTCGGACGCCGCGATGTCCTGCCGCACCTCCCGCACGATAGCTTCATCGGAGGCGCACTCCGAGACGATGACATCTTCGTCGGCGTCAACGAAGTCGTCCCACGTCTGCCCTTCCTCTGTCAGACTAGCAGCAACGGCTTGGGTCCACAGGGTCGAGTCGATGCTTTGCGCATCGTCTTGGCTTGCTTCCGCAGGAGATTGCTCCGCAGGAGAAAACGAAATCCCAGCTTTTCGAAAGCAGTTCTTGATGCTGCCAGACCTGACTTCCATCCAGGAGGCTTTCAGCATTTCCACTGCGTTCATGAGAGAAATTGTCAGCTGAGGCCCTCGCGCACTTGGTCGGCCGATTGCGATGAGCAGCCTTTCGATGACGCGGCGGCGGTAGCACACTTTGAAATTTCTGATGATCCCCATGTCGAGGGGTTGGAGCTTGGCAGTGGCGTTCGGAGGGAGGAACATCAAAGTCACAGCATTCAGCTGTGGGTTCACATGATGAGCTGAGCAATTATCCAGGATCAACAGGATCTTTCGTTTTTGCTTGACCATGGCATTGTCAAGCTCCGTGAGCCATTCGGCAAAGAGTTGCCGAGTCATCCAAGCCTTGGCACTGTCTCGGTACCGTACGGGCAGGGGGTTGGTGAAACAGCGCGGTTTCTTCGCCGTTCCAATCACAAACGGCAAGCGCCTGTCGCTGCCGTCTACATTACAGCACAGGAGCACAGTTATCCGCACCTTGCTGTGCTTCCCACCGACGCATTTGTCGCCCTTTAACGCGTGCGTACGCACAGGCCTCATCTGGTAAAACAACGCAGTTTCATCCGCGTTGTAGACATCTCGCTCACTGTAGCTGTAGATCTCGTCCAGGTTGTCAGCAAGCCACTGCTCCGCTCTCTCTATGTCCACGGATGCCCCTTCCCCGACGATGGACTTGTAAACAATCCCGTGGCGCTCCTTGAAGCGATGGAGCCATCCGTTTCCAGGGCTGAACTCTGTGAAATTCAGGAGAAACGCGAAGTCCCTGGCTTTCCCAAGCAGCAGGGGTCCGCTGATGGGGACGTTCATAGTTCTTGCGTCGAGAAACCACTTGAAGAGAGCGTCTTCGACGTCTTTGTACGCGGCGTGCCGCAGCCGTTTTCGAGCACTGCAGTCACCATTCATGCTCATTGCTGCCATGATCTTCTCCTTTTCCTTGGCGATCGTCGAAATGGTGGACTTCGATAAGCCATATTTCTTGCACAGTTCGCCGTTTTTCGCCCCTGCGCTCAGCTCCTGAAGGATTGCAGATTTCGTGCCCATGTCGATCGCCTTGCGTTTCTTCGCAGTTGAAGCAATGTCCGACATAACGATCGATGACTCGGCGAGTGACCGTAGACTGAACGATTGCGCGGAGGTCGAGCCGAAATGCCGAAACCAAACGACGAGAGGCAACACGCTTCAGACGGAACGAAAGACAAAAGACCGCGAAACCCCAACACTCAAAATAAAAAATAAAAAAAAATGCAAAAAAAAAAAAGGGGGCTTTGCACACGGCCTTAACGCTTCGAGCAGAACGCGTGCAAAGCGTTGGGCTGGGAGGCCTGATTGTCTTGCTTTCCCCTTTCGTTCCCTCTTCCCTCCCCATCCCCCTCCCCAAGAACCCGACGCTGTCGGGGTGTTGCGCTGCCGGTGCTCCTCCGCGTTTTGCGCCTCCTCTCCCCTGCCTTATCTCCGCCGGCAGCCAAGGTCGCGGCGCCGTCAGCGCCGTTTCGTTCGTTCTATCCGAGAATTGCGCACAGAAATGGCCGTTAAAAGTGGGCCGTTTTGTGCAGGATTCTTGCGAAATATGTTTGGGGATGAGAAATTGTTCGTATTAACCGAACGTTCGTTTTAAGTGGGGCCGTTATAAGTGGGCTCGACTGTACTAAGATAATTATGCTTGAAGAAAATACGCGAATCAGAAGCATTCCAGGGCTACACAATAGATGGCGCCAGTGCGTTTTTCACTTTGTAAGCAGTCACCAGCCGTAGTAACCAGTTTTGTAGACGTTACCGAAAAAGTAGCAAAATGCGTTACTCGTCCTTCGCAGTTGAAAGGAACGCGTTGCGGACCTACGTTACCTCGGAACAAATTGAACGCATTGCCGGTTGGTTCCGTTACAGATGAAAAGTAATGCCTACTACTTATTCGTTACTTCTCATTATTAAATTGAAACTTTTTTTCTTCTGAAGTGGGATTGTCTTTTTGTGGGGAAAAGAGAGGTACAATTTTATAGGTACGTGGGACGAGTGCCGGAAATCATATGCCTAGAAACACGCGAAATATTTAGATGTAATTTTTTTTCGAACTTTTGGAAGGAACAACGAGCAACGTAACTGCGCTACTCTTTACTCGAAATAAGTAACGTGACCTTGGGGGGAGGGGGGGGGCGAAGGGGGGGTCACGTGACCTTTGGGGGTCACGTGACCATGGGGGTGGTCACGTGACCTTGGGGGGTCACGTGACCTCGCGGTTACGCCGACGGCGACGCCGCTCAAGCCGGAAGCGGGCCCCTAAGAGCTGCGCTCTAAAAGAAAGTAGCGAGTAGGTCACTACGTTACCTAAAAAAAATTTCGAGGACACCTAAGCACTTCTTGTCTGTTGTGAATGGGAAGCATAGATGTCGAATTGAACGCCGCTGAGGGCTCCTTCGAGTTTTGCGGTACGAGTATTGAGATGCCGTCATGTTCGTCAGCGCCGAGAGACGCACCCGCTTTCCCTTCCTCCCTCTCCCCTCCTCCCCCCCCCCCCCCCCCCCCCCCCCCCTCCTCGGCCCTGGGGGCTTTTGGCGACCGCGCGCCACCGTGTTCACCGTGTTTCTTCCAGCGGCGCGGTGCCGCAGTGGTGGCGTTCCCTGAAACTAGGGCGCGCGGGGAAGTTTATTCTCCGTTTCGCTGCTACATACTAAAATTACTGGATCCTGGGAAAGTAGCGCCATTGGCTTCCCTACCTGCTAGCCGGACACAAACAGATACTATCATACAGACGACCAAAACCTCGCAAGGCGATTCGCTAATCTGTCCAAGTTGCCATGGAAATTGCCATCTCGGTCCATTCAAATCTTCGAAGGTTCCAGAGGTCGCTCTGAACCAGTCGCGCCAAGGTCACCAAGGACCATCATCGTGCTGGAAGCGTTCCTCGCCAATATAAGCATCTTTGGCACTGTCTATGCAATCAACTTATCAATTATACCCATCTCCGCGGATCTCTTACAATTATATTGTTCTTCTTGCGTATTTTAAAACAGCAAACTTATTTTTCAGTGCCTCCAAGCACAGACAGATCACGTGGTGGTAGTACGAAGATGTACGCTTGTTTCGCCACGTCTCCATAAAGCTACCCGTCACCAGTGAATTTAGATGGGCTCACCAAGAACGGAGGGGTCAATGAGAAATCGCTCATTTCACGGACCAAGATGGCGGCCATAGGGGAGCTTGGCGCTACTTTTCTACTATCCAGTGACTTTACTACAGACTACAGGCTTCGCTCCATCGAACAGGGGAGTTTAAGTGCCGTTTGGCGCGGCTTCAAAAGTTGCAGTAACGCCGGTCCGCTCCCTGAGACAGTTAAAGGGCAACTCCGCTTCTTTTCCAGTAGTGCAAAACTATACAGTTCTCTTTGTTATCATCTACAAAACCCCCATGGCAAATATTACGACGGAATTCCGCCTAGAAGTTCATTGAAATCGCTGTCAAAGTTTGACAAGCACGAATCCGCTGGTTTTGGATGAGACGTGCGGGCCAGACAACACTGCCCGGCTGCATTTCCGCTTCCTCCAAATTCCTACTCCCGGCACGTCCGCGACGTCATCAAACATGTACAGCTTCTTTTTTCTTTTTTTCTCAATTTTGTTTTCTTTCCCGGGGAGAGCACGGGTGGCGCCAGCGCCGTGAAAGACGTGAGTGACGCGCTCGGCCGGCCCGACGCTCGACTATTGATACTAGTGATAAGCAGATCGCCTCGTTGAGCGCGGCTTGTGTTACATCGCGAACTTTTGAACACCAAGTAAAAGGAGGAGAGGGAAGCTGCTTTTGTAAGAATTTTGAGTGACAGGTTAATCTTCTATAATCTTCTGGGAGGACAATAGCGACGCCTGTGCTAATCCAGGAGGCACAAAGGAGGGTCCTGATAAGAAGGGAGCTCCTTCTTCGCCTTGTATATCACGTGGGTGTACATGCTTAGTGATGCCGAATATACAATGTTGTCCGGCTTTGCCACCGTTTCGGTTTCGGTTTGTGATCATGGCTAGAGTAAAATTACACGAAAAATATTTTATTTTTCGCGAAACAAAGGATCGGGGATTGTTTTTGAGTGCTTCAAAAAGCAAAATCGGCCACTATCTCAAAATTTTTGAAATTAAGCGGAGTTGCCCTTTAAGGCTTTTGCATTAAAGAGAAGAAACGCGTTCACTGTATACAGCGGTACCGCAAACACTGGCTGCAAGGCACTCGGTCCCAGTTATACCAGTCTGTATCACATATATATATATATATATATAATACAGACAGAGAGTCTCCAGCAACTGTCTGAGACGTGCTTCTTCCTCGTTCGTGCCACAATCGTCACACAGAAACTTCCTGCAGAGGTGTTCGACGCACACATACAGATAGCGCGATTTTGCTTGCGAATTCGCAGCTGCAACGTCGGGCGCCGCAGCTTACCCCAGAGTTTTTCTTTTTACCTTACATGCGACGTCGCAATTGCGAAATGAGAAGTAAAATCGCACCATCTGAATCAGGCTTTAGTCGGGCTCACTTTCTTTGTCATAGTCACGTGGCATTCAAACTAGTGTATAAAATATATTTTGAGTCGAGGGTCATCTAAGGCATACATTTAATAATAAAAATAGAAAAGAACACGAACCCCATTTTTGTGGCCTCCAAAAGATCCCAAATACGTTAATAAAGATAAATGTTGTACAGGTCTAATTAAGTACTGCATGTACCACGTCATTCTCAATATGGCGACGTACCGCGGACTGGACGACACAATGGCGTCGCACGAGGACCAACGTTGTGAGGGACGTGGGGCCGATATACCTCGGAACTGTCGTTCATGGTACTGGCTAATCGATCTTCAAGCTTAGAACATCGAGCGGAAGGGATATATGTGCGAAATAATCGCACGACAAACGGTACACGCAACTTCGTCGTCGTTGTCGTCGTCTGTTTCACATGCCCGGGGAAGCGGAAAAAGAAAAAAAAAAAACGCTGTCGGGTGTAGCCCCGTGACTACTGGCACCTCTTTAACCCTCTACATTTCTCTTTCCCACTCGGTGTCGGTACATGTCGTCCGCGTGTCGCGGCCATGAGCTTCCGTGCTCATGTTTCGGTTTCGGTTTCGGGCAGTTGAGTTTTTTTTTTTTTTTTGCTTCATTAGAAAGATACGTGGCTCTAGCAAAATATTGATTGTGTAGTCTCCTGGCACCGTATTAAATCACCAAGCAAAAAAAAATTATTACATAGTGGCCACTACCCTGTGCCAGTCCGTTAATCTCGTTGACGTGAACTCGTGCAGGATTCCTAACGGTGACGACCTACAGGAGGAGCCATCCAGCCACGGGAATTGCGGCCGCCGTCATCATAGGAGCCCTGTGCGCCGCCGCGGTCGTCCTGCTCTTTTTAGCGTGCTGCTGCAGGAAGGCGTCTTTGAGTGAACCGGTACGTCGAGTGCCTAGATTTCAGAGTGTTTCCAACTGCCGGATCGAGGTCACGGGGTTTATATCGACAGGACAATGAAGTTTGAATAGACAGATAGCGCCATCTTATGCGAAATTTGAGCAACTCTGAGACGGTCTGCGTTCGCAATCATATATGACCCGATCTCGAGCTCGAAGGTTCGCGAGGGCCCTACGATACTACGCAACTGGAAAGCATATTGATCTGCTTTTTGCACAAAGATTGCGAGGAGGTCAGAACGCGAAGCTCTTATTGGCTGAGTGAAAAAGAAAACAAAAATAGTGGGTACTCCTAAAGGCATCTAGCATTGAGTTCTGCCGACTATCCGTCCAATCAAAGCCAGTCAGAGCTCGGCGTGGTTCCGACGTCACCGCAACTCCTCCACAAGAAACAGACGGCTTTCTCTTGCTGATAAAAATAGAAAAAAACGACGGTTTTTTGCTGATCTGAAGAAAAGTTTTTTAGTACTGTCAATAATAGGATTAGAATCATCGAATTATGAGCTACTTATCTGTTTAATCCACCAGTTTTAATAAACCATCTTCCTGTCAGAGGTTTGGATCGAGAATTACTTGGTAGGAAACTTACACGAACAAAGGGAGTCATTAGGAAGGAAGACGGGACGAAAATTGTCAGTTACAAGCGATTTTAATACTTTTAAAGTTAATCAGATTGCTCTTGGGATTACTTCCTAATAAATATATAATGTAATGATTACAAAATTACTCCAAAACGGAATCGATTATGCTCGCTTTCGTCCTTGAAATGACACCGCAACAAAGGAGTTTCTTGGTCAGTGGCGTTGCGAGGCGAGTACGCTTCGGTCCCATTAGTGTTAGTAAGCTCGTGCAGAGTGAAAAACATTCCAAGCGAATAGCTTTGTACGGCCTTTCTAACAACGCTTTAAAAAAATAAAAATATGAACAAATGGGAAGTACAATACTGCACCTGCTTATGAGCGTTTGAAAATAGACACGCGTCAGAATTTCTTTGAGACGTTTCATTTCGATACTTGCACTTTCAAAATGGTGTGAGTTGTGCTCCGTCGTGTCCTCTGCGTCCCAGTCAGCCCAACGTAGCACCGCCTCGAGTGTGTCCATCTAAAAAGGTGGTGCAGCGATGTTCGCTTGGAATGTTTAGGCCCGTTCACACACTTGCAGCCGAGTACGACCGAGAGAGACGAGACCTGTTGAAACCTCTTAAAATTTCTTAGGACGAGAGAACACACTGGCACACTGGCGCCATCTATGCGGGGACCCTGGAACTGCATTTTAGAAGAGCGAAGGTTGTGCAGGATTTCCGAGGTCAAATGTGCGTAATTTATGAGAAAGACTCGTTCATAGCGTTGACAAAAGCTTTTTGAGCCAAGAAACAAAGGAGAATGCAAGAGAGAAATAGAAAGAATGCCGGACCGCCAAGTTTACACTGCAACCCAATAGGTGGCGCCAGTGTGTCCTAAGGCTGTCTGTTCTAAGGGATCGTAAGTGTGTGAGCGGGCCTTTTTTCGCTTTACACGAGCTTACTGGCACTAGTGGCACCTAAGTATACACGCATGCAACGCCACTCAGCAAGAAACTCTTTTGTTGCGGTGTAATTTCAAGGACAAACAAGAGCGTTAACTTTCTATCTGTCATTCACAAAACTTGTTCACGTAGCTGGAGGGTCGAACAGAGCCGCATATAGAGAGAGTTTGGTCAATAGGAGGAGTGGACAGAGCCAGGGCGCGTACCGGACGCAGAAGGAGGGCCTGCTGACATGCTCTCTTGGCCAAACAGGAGCCGAAAATAATCCCCTAGCGGTTGTAGTGAGAAACAGTTTTAATAGGTGCGCAAGAGTTAAATGAAGTAACTCTTCGTGGTTAAAAATACGGAACACGTAATGTTTCGATTATGATTTTGCAAAAAGATGCAAGAAACGAATGTTCCGCTCGAACTCTGTTTTGCTCGGACGGTGCCTTACCGCTCGGACGTCAGATTCCCGGCCCCCAGCGCCAGGCGTACGGATAATGTCGATCGCTCTGCTCAATTTTGATTTTGCATTACCGTGATCGAAAAGTCACGTGCACCATATTTTCAGTCGCCGAGAGTTACTCCGACGTACTTATTATTTTGTTTCTCGCGATCCCCACCAGGGTATTATTCGCGGCTTCTGGCTGGCCCCTTTTGAATTTGTGAAGACGCCCTAGAACACGCCCAGCCCGCTTTCAGCCAATGGCGCCTCCTCATTTGCCTCCCATACCTCCCAATGTATTGCCATACACTCTCTATATACGGCTCTCTGGTCGCAGTACCCCTTAGTGGCGATATTTAAGTGCGGCTCTTATATTGGACCCCATCATTGCATGAGCACTCAATTTTCGGCTAATGATGATCAATAGCTCGGCGAGCATTCGGGTAGTGGCCCGTGTCTAATCGCTCCAATGACGACAATCGCCGAACCATATAAGAAGTATTCATTGGACGTCATATTTGAGGGCGATGCTTAGAACGCATGCTCAGAACGAGCTCACATTAATGGCCTGCTAAAACCGGCAATCTTGATGGTGCGAAACGCACGTTGCAAAAAAGCTGCAGAAGCTCGCCGTCAGCACAAGCTCAGCAGCCGTGCACACAGCTATGGCCGTCAGTGAATACTCCCTATAACCATGTCTGTAACTCAGCGCGTGTCCTGTGCTTTGCCAACCCCAGCGCGTGGCTATGATCAATATAGGGCATTCAATGGACGCCATATTTGAGGGCGATGTTTAGGGCGAATGCTCAGAACGAGCTTACATTACTAGCCTGCTAAGACCGGCAATCTTGATGGTGTGGAATGGAGGTTGCAAAAGAACTGTGGAAGCTCGCCGTCAGCACGCGCTCAGAAACCACGCACACAGATATGGCCGCCAGTGAATACTCCCTATTGGCGGCATATATTCACGTGACCGCTTGTTCTGACTACAAGTTGAGCCGATGAAGTCTTGTTGTTTTTCTCTAATTTTTTGTGCGCACTCGGCTGTCTGTGGTAAAAAACGAACGCTCGTTTGATGGTTCATTAGCGTGAGAAATTATTTCTAAGCTGTAATTGTGCATAGTACGAAATTCGTTGCGTCTGCGTTCAATAACTTTAAGACCATTTCGCTCAACCAGTACACCGTCTCTGCGTTCAAATAGATGCTGTTGTGGAGCAAAGCGTGCAAAGCGCGGGACAAATGCACAGCAAAACGACCGAAGGCTTGTACAGAAACTTGTACGTTACGCGTTACAAGTATCGCGTTACTTATGCCCAGTTACTTGTTTTGTAACGAATAAACGACAGTTACCGTTTAGGAGTAGGAACGAACGTATTTTTTGTTACTCTTTGATAAAGTCACGAGTTGCAGTAGGAAGTAACTTCTGGGGGGGAACGTGTTGAACAGAATTACTCAGCCTAGTTCTCACCCCTGCTTGTATACCTGCAATTTGCACGACCAGAAAACGGTAGATAGACATTAAACTAGGTGCTCAGAGTGTTTCGATCACGTACATTTCTGGGCAGAGCACATTTTTCTCTAGATGGACGCGGCTGTGAAGCGTGCACAGTCTCCGGTATACTTTATGCACAGCAAAACGACCGACCTGTTGTACGACGCTTTGAAAAGCAAGCTGGAATTACTGAGTGATAGGTGGCACCATCATGAAGTTTGCAAATGGCCTGCTGCTGTTCGAAAATAAGCACAGCAGCGAGCGGTCCGCTAAAGCCATGAGACGGCCACCTGTCACGCCGTATTTTAACTATTTACAGCGAAGCTGTATATGACTCGTTGGTCTGGTTTTTTCGTGTCCGTTGACAGAACAGTAGTCGACAAATAAAATAGTCGACAGAAAACCCACGCCATGCGCGTGCCTTATCTGTTATCATGTGGTTTCGACACTTGTTTCAATAAGAAAACTACAAAAGAAGTGCCAAAACCACGTGATATACGATAAGCACATAGCGCTCCCCGCATGCGTTTCTCGGTAAAGATTGCGGTTTCATAAGCTACCTTGCCAACGGCAGGAATTTTTTTTTTGAACAACGCACCCAAGTCTTATAGTTACCCGGTTAATACGAATATCTCCATAACGCACCCAAGTCTTGCAATTACCCGGTTATAACTCGAATACCTGCATAAGTCCAAACAGCAAATTACGAATCGAACGTGCGTCAATGCGCGGTCGGGACCTATGTCCCGCTGTCTAAACATCGATACATCTCTTTTGCAGTGTTGGGCCCATTACTGAGCATAGCGTAACGAACATAGCGTTACTTGTTGGTGTGTCAAGGTTTAACGTTTTACTCAGTTTTGTTACCGACCTCCACATAAAGAAATACAGGTAACTGTTACTTTCAAATAAAACAAATGTTACTTTAGCCTTAATTCAGATTTAAGTAGGATTCGGCATCAATAGGCCATTGATAAGAACTTCGAGAATTATTAAACTTTCCCAACGGGATGTCATACTGAATATTATATATTTTTATTAGACCTGTAAAAGAATTTAAAGTTCAGATGGAATGTGTTTTTCAGTGAAGCAATTTTAAACCATTCCGCAGAGAATAAAATATTTTGACTTTTAGCGCAGTTTACAAATTGCGAATTCAGATGTTTTTAAAAGGCCGCTTTAAAAAGCCAAGAGCTTCGTCGTTTCTACGCCGAAGCCTTCTCGAGCAGGACCATCCTTGTGTGACTGTAATGTATTGGGTTAGTAAAGCTAGTGGCGCTTCGCACGAAGCCTATCACGATGCTCTCTCTCGACCTGTACGTAACAGCGGCGTACGATTCTTTATGGCGGCAGCAAACGTTCATTTCTCTCTTGGACAACGGTGTCACGGTTCAATGTTGGAGTTTCGCGGCATTGTCGGGTGGCTAACAGGTTCGGTCCGTCCTCGCTGACCTCTGCTCGCCACCTCCCTCGTGTGCATGCGCTTGGGAGACGGACGAACCCCGGACATGTCGTCACGTGATCAATCTATTCACGGATCAGTCCGTCATGTGAATCAGCGATTAGCGGGACGATCGGAGAGGAAGCAATGTATAGATGGCGAGGAGGTCGGCGGAAGGAGCGCTTTAGGGAGACGGCATCCTGATCCTGTTATATCGAGAATTTCCAGATGCGTTTTATATGCTTTATATTTCAAATTGCAAGCTCGAAGGTTGTGAGCACTTCCACGAGGAGGTCCTGGAACCTGCCTCAAGTCTGTTTGTCTTTTATTTAAAACACGACCCCCATTTTAGGCCGAAGAGGCCCTTAAGCTTAAACCACAAGAAATTACTAATCCAATGTAACGAGTAAAAAATAACCAGTACCTTTCGTAGCGTATACCGTGAAATAGTACAAAAAAACTTTACTCGTTAGAATTTTGGAAATTTAAGGAGTACGTTTGGAACGTTACTGGAGAAATTAACGGGTTACCAGTAAGGTCGTTAGGTGTAATGTGCTACTTCCAACACTGCCAATTTGACATCCCAGAGATGGGCAATGTCCGCAATGTACCCTCCCATTCCAGGACGCATCGAGGATGACGGTGGTGTATCATACGTCCGTACCGCCGCAGCCAGCGGGCGTCGCCATGCAGACCATGCCTTCCAGCGGGATCTACATGTACCCCTCGCCGGTGCACTGGCCACCGCCGGCGTACGAGGACCCCCAGGCCAAAAAGGACGGCCGAGGAACCTTCAACCCCATGATGGCGTCGTCTGCACAATCGGCTCGGCCGACGGCGGCGCCACCTCCATACACCATGGACTGGGCACACCCCTACTGAACGCGTTGTGCTAAGAGAAAACTCGGTGATGGACCTCTCGCCTATTGTTCGTGGAACGTAGTTTCGTGTGCAGTGCAGCGTTCTAAATCAACCGGTATTTACGACTTAAGAGCTCCGAGGTTTGGCAAAATGATATCTGTAAGTACTGCCGAGACCGGTTATAACGAAGTCGGTTATAACGAAATAGCGGCTACAGCGAAGCGATCACGATTTCCCACTCCCATTTGCACTTCGTAAGCCGAAGTCGGTTATAACGAAATAGCGGATATAGCGAATTGATTTCCGATTCCCGTTGACTTAGTTATAACCGGTCTAGACAGTATGCTGAAAAAAGCTTTTTCATTTATTTATTTTTATTTAACAACCCTGTTGACAATAATAAGGGGGTCGAACCAGGAGGGGTTTATAATTAGTAAAACAAAACAAAAAAAATTTTTTATACACATCTATAAAAATAAAAAGAACATAGTATATTACGCTGCACAGCCAACACAATTGCAAAAACAATGACGAAACAAACAAAAAAAATCAATATGCGCTGAAGCAAAGAAATTGCACACATCCGGAAATAGCCTTTAAGTACAGATATAACCATTGGCATCGCATGTGCGGCACACAAATTAAATAAATATGAAATAAAGCGTCGATACTTAGCGTACTAGTGCACTTAAAAATGCAGAAAGTTTCCCTATGTGAAGGAAGTACACTTCAGAAAGCTGTCATCTTGAAAGCTGCAGGTACTAAAGGCTTTCAGTGATTAATCTTAGGGGGAAAATAAAATATTTATATGTATTAGTCGTCGCAAAAAGTGGCTCGACAGACTGAACGTTTGTGTCGCCATTGGCGCCTTTGGGAGTTTCGGATAGCGGATATAGTTTCAAGGCTGATTTATGGAAATAAAGTGAGTGAAAAATTCTTCAATTTGGTCATCTTTCGCGCTTGTAAAGAGGCTGAAGACTTGCTAGGGTAAGCGTATAGGTGACACGGAGTCTGGCCTGCATTATTTTCTATAAGTAACTTTAATTGACAGCGACATAATTTTTTTCCTAACTTAAAAATGTCACCCTTCCATACTCAGGCTCGGACAAAACAAGGGTTTTATTGGCCAGGAGTTTCGTTATATATATATATATATGTGTGTGTGTGTATATGTGTGTATGTATGTATGTATGTATGTATGTATGTATGTGTGTGCATGTATGTATGTATGTGTGTATGCATGTATGTATGTGTGTATGTATGTATGTATGTATGTGTGTATTTATGTATGTATGTATGTATGTATGTACGTATGTATGTGTGTATGTGTGTGTATGTGTGTGTGTGTGCGTGCGCGCGTGCGTGCGTGCGTGCGCGTGCGTACGTGCGTGCGGGTGCGTGCGTGCGGGCGCGTGCGTGCGTGCGTGCGTGTGTTGATTTAGTGTTTCTCGATGAATGCTCAGCAAGATTCTAATTAAAATGCTGCCTTAAGCTCAATGTTTGAAAAAAAAATCACGCTAAAATAATTAACAATTTAATTATCCCGAACTTTGGTCCTAGGCCCCTGGCCTAGGACCAAAACGACAGAAGCCTTGTTTTGGTGCAATGCGTAGTTTTCGAAATATTGAATTTGTACACCTTTCGTGAAACGCCCTATATATATATATTGTAACACTCAAAAGGTTTATACATATATATATATATATATATAGTAGTGAACAAAAAGATATGATATTTCGGTTTTACGTGGGTAAATTTTCTTCGAACTGTGATAGAGACATAACAACCGACCCCTGGTGGCTAAAAAGACTGCATTATGGTGTACCATATATCTAAACAAAATATTATTGGCTATTTACTAGACGTCGAGCAATACTTCTGTAAAAGAAACGAAATATCATATATTTTTGTTCATTACTGTATATATTCCTATTCTATTTCAGATTACCTGTAAGGGTAAAACCCTTGTATGTGTACTTTAGAACTTGACATTTTAAGTTAGTTTTTTATGCTCTATGTAAAGGGTAGATATACTTTTTATTTTTTTTAATCTTAAGATAAGCCGTTGTATAATATATAATCACTATGACCCACTTCTCACACCATTCAGCTATTTGATTTAATTTGCGGTTAAGAATGGCCTCATCTTCTGAACGTGAAACCTCCAAAACAATAACACAGTCATCCGCGAGCAATCGTAGTAAAGCATTTCGGTCAACATATCCAATTAGATAATTAATATAAATAAGATTGTGTGTAGTGACCCAACGTCGGATCCTTGAGGTCGACTGGATTTGACTTCTAGAAAACGGGAGTAATTTTTGTTTACATCAACCAATTGCCTTCGGCTTTCCAGCTAGGTCTTCATCTAACTTGTCATCTTTGGGTGACTTCCAACTTGTTTTAAACTTAAAAGAAGCTGATCATGCGGCAGTTTATCCAAGGCCTTAGAGTAGTCGAGGAATATAGCATCGATTTGGCCAGAGTTGTCGATTACTGTGGCCAAATCATGTGCTATAGTTGTTAATTGGGTTGTTGGGGAACATCTCCGCCAAACCCATGCTGTGTATTAGAAAATATATTGTGCTTATTCAGTTACTCAGTAAAATAGTTTGAAATCGCATGTTTTATACGTTTCCACGTCAAGCAAGTTGGTATTGAACGGTAGTTGTAGAGTAACGATGAATCGCCCTTTTAAAAAAAAACCGGAACCACAGGTGCCGAGCGACACTCATGGTGCACAACCCCACTGGAAAATGACTTGTTAAAGATAATAGCTAAGAAATTTGCCAGCATTTCGGCATATCGCTTTAGGAAATTATTGGGAATATCGCCAGGGCCACACGACTTTTGGCGTTCTTATTAGGTAGCAACGCAAACAATTCTTGATATGTAATTCCCGAATCTAACTATCTTTCTTTTAATCTCCTGAAACAAAAATATCAACTTCGCGTATATAGAAAAATAGAATGCTCTAGAAATATATGTTAAACAGATTAGACATTTCTTTACCGCTGGTGACGACAAAAGCTACTGTGAAGAATCTGCTTCATTTCATTTTTATTATTTCACAGGTATTGCCAAAATACTTGAGGGCCGTTGTGAATAAATCCCACATGCTAGAAAAAAAATTGCAACTAGACTCTTCTAGTTACTTTTTGACAAAGCACTAAGTTGCGGGATTACATTTATATTACATGACAGCGACCTTCTTTGACGTTTTATTTTTCATTTTAAAAGAATTATCTCTCGCGCCATTTAAGCACTAGTAGAATCAACACGTTTTCGCTTTTTAGGGACAATATTCTGCAAACAATATTCACAATGACCTTTGAACTTATTCCACAAAACATGCACATCATTATTGTTCAATGACTCAGAAGCTGTATCGAGATAATTAAGGATGGCAACGTCGTCTGCCTCATTGTAATTTTTTACGTACAATCGAGTACCTTAACCCGCTAAAAGCATTTGTTACTTTTTTACTGTTTAGAGAACAAAAAGCATACACTCTGAGATACCTTCTTCAAAATAGAGACAGGGAAAAGAAGGGTTATAACAAGGGTTTTGTGTTTTCGGAGTTTATTTATTCGTCAAATTCAGAGGGTGTTTTTCGGAGTTCATGTTTTGCAGACAATTCAGAGTTTTTCGGGGCATTTTGTTTGTTTAATTCCCAATTCTCCGAAAACTGGAGTTTGATTACGCAGTGTTTCCTGTTAAAACTAAATAAATAAGTAAATAATATCAGCATGTAAACGTATTTAAAATAATGAAATCAAACGCGCTCTTATTCATTATTATTTCTTAACTAAATTTGGCGCTGGTGCCATTTCTATTGGCAATACTAATTTGTCGCAAGACAAAATTTGCACAAAGTGTTGCTTCGATAAGCACCGATACCTTAAAATTAATAAACTCCTGGAGGAAGTTGCTGGGAAGCCGTATTCATCCCATCCTATTCCATCAATCTATCCCGCGGCTGCGCGACGTGTAGGGGGTGAAAGACCGACCTACAAAATAATTTACCGTATCCTCCTCGTCACCCTTCCATTCTTTCCTGTCCCCCTGGTATCTGGACAAAGGGGGCACTCCTGTTGTTGCTGTATCTTCGGGCTGGTGAGGCTGGGAGTTTATCCCGGCTTATCAAGCCACAAGATGCAGCAACAAAAGGAGTCCCCACGCCGTCTGGGCGAGGGGGGAAAGGGAAGCGTGGCGAGGAGGATTTTTCGACCTTGCGGAAAAACTTTTTGTGGGTCAGGTTTTAATGATGTAACGGAGAAGCTTGAACCGCCCCTCTTTCCAATTTTATGCAACCTCTATGATCCAGAGCTTTCACTGTTACAAAAAACGCAATCTCTCCTTCCCCTTAAGCACAAATAGTATGTCCCAAAGAGGAAACCAAAACGGTGGTTCTTGTCGTGACCTGAATTTAGAATGACTTGTTGTCCTGAATGAATCTTCACGAGATATGTGAGAAGATCCTTTTTTCATAATGGTCCGAGATTTGAAAGGTAATTATGGTGGGATTTTCCCAGTACGATTGACCTTGCGCCAATTAAAATGTAAAATAACGTTTTTTTTTTTTTTTTTTTTTTTTTTTGGGGGGGGGGGGGGGTTATCGGATAAATCAAAATTGACTACCATTTTGTGGGCAGATGTTTTTCGAAGTTTTTCGAATTTATCCGAAAACACGCAACGCCATATAACTAAGTATGTATGTTTTCGGATAAATCCGAATAACTCCGAGAAACAGCCGCCGGTAGAATTTTCGTCAATTCGGATTTATCCGATAAACTCCGAATATTGAAGTGCCAATCCCCCCCCCTCCCCCCCCCCCCCCCCCCCCCCCACACACACACACACACGCAAAAAGGACGGTATTTTAAAGTGAAGTTTTGATTAGGGCGCAGGGTCAGTGGTCCTGCGGAAATGCGACCTCAGTCATCTTTCAAATCTCGGACCATTGTCCGATATTTGACATCCCTTCACTAAGTATCACTATCATTAATCAGTATCACCTCGCTAAGAATAAACTCTAACCTCGAACTACTTGCTTCCAGAGAAACATTATCACGCCTGTGTCTTCTTCACAATATCTCCTATCATAAAAGTGATAACAGAACGTCATTGCTG